TGCAAAGCAGAATTTCCCCAACTACTTGAGTTGGTCTAATATCAGATATCAGTCACCCAAAGAACCTCGTCTGTCCATGTGTCCCAGACACTTGGGTTGTGTGCATCTCCATGTGTCCCAGGGTGTAGGTTGTAGCCATGGTGTTCGAAGGACATAGGCAGATCAGGTTCTTTGGGTAAATCTGGTATTTTTTATGAGACCAACTCAAATAGTTGGAGAATTTCTCTTGTGCAAGCTTTGCTCCTGAAACAGCCTTCCTCAGCCCGAAGATCCATGTGCAGCTGTGCTGTGCTCTTCCTGCGAGCAGCATCCAGCAACAGCACAGCACAACTTCAATTCCTCAGTCTGGGGAAAGGCTGTTTCTGGAGCAAAACTTGCAGAAGGAACGTTTTCCAACTCTTTGACTTGGTCTCATAAAAGATACCGGATTTACCCAAAGAACCTTTCTCTGTCCCACATACTTGTTGGCAGGGGGGAGTGGGGTTCCACACAGCTCACTTGTCCGTGTGCGTCCTAGACACTTTGGTTGCATGTGTGTTCATTTCATGAACAGCTGGGTTGTGTGTGCATGTGATCCCATTAATATATTTGGTCAAAGGATAACTAAAAATACTGTGTTTAAAGAGATACTGTGGGGAGACAAAAGCAAGGAGCGTGCTGAGAAAATCTCAACCAGATACTGCACTGGCAGCCCGGATGCCTGGCTTCTTTGCGGGGGGGTGTGTGGCTGGGCGCCTGGACACCCGGGTTCTCTGGGCACTGGTGGGGAGGGGAGATGGAGGGTCCCGTGGGAAGGGAGAGGACCCTACAGCCCAAAGCACTCAACGCTCGTGGGTCCAGTCCTGCAACTGCACTGGTGCCGCTTCTGCTCAGCTTTTCCCTCCAGAGAAGAGTTTTCAGCATTTTTATACCACTGAAACCTGGGGGTCTCCACTCCCCAGCTTGAGCTGCACATACGTGAACATCCTTGCAACCATGTCCCACCAGCCCCGCTTGTGCTACCACACCACTCCACTCCCTGCTCCCCCGCTGGTGCCCCTCACTCCCAACCTGCAGCCCCTCCCCCCCCATCCTACTGGTGCCCTTCACTCCCAACCCACTCCCCACCATCCCTGCCAGTGCCCCTCACTCCTGACCCACAGGCCCTGCCCCGCCATCCCCTGCTGCCTACACAGCTCCCTGATTCCCCCCCAAACCCCCCCTCACCCCGTTTCCCCACTGGAGGGGCAGACACCTCCCCTCCCTCTGTGCCTTGCTGGACCTGCAGCACCCAGACAGCTTAGGCACCCACCCGCTCACACCCCCACACGCCCCACTCTGGCCTTCCAACCCCTTCCCTGCATAGACTTACCTGCCTACAGTGCTGGGGCAGTGCCAGGCCCACCTGATGCCCTGCCTGCAATCCCATCCTCTGCTCCCCCCAGCCCCAAGCAGCTGGGACAATCCAGGAAGTGCCGGGGTTGGGGTGGGGGGAGGTCTTTGATGCTGAGCAGAGACAGAACAAAATCCCCAAAAGCACCCAGATGGAGATGGGAAGACCCAAAAAGAGATGTCTGGGAAAACCTGGATGTATGGTAACCCTACCCTCATCCAAATTCTGGAGCTGGGCGGTTGTGGGGCAGGAGCAAGGGGTTGTCTGGTGGTGTAGAGCAGTGCTTCTCAACCTATCTGATGTGGCAGACTGGCAACCTTTTTTCCAGTGGGCTAGGGACTGGGGACCTGTTCAGTTGGTGGCAGCAACTGCATGTAACAGCGCTACACAAATGCGCGACCAGCTGTTTCTTTCTCTTTCCTCACCTCGCACGACGTGAGGTCACCTGGAGTGCTGGAACATACAAACTGGCGCTATGACATATCAATGTTATGCTTCTGAAAATATATTTCTTTCTTTCCTGGCAACTCGCTGCGGACCGGCACCGGTCTGCGGACCACCGCTTTGAGAAGCACTGGTGTAGAGGATGCCAATCATTGTGGGAGTGTTTAGGGTGCAGAGCCATGCACAAGGGTGCAGGATCAGGCTGCAGGGAATGCAGGACGTGCGGTATGAAGCCAGTTGGGTTTCTCACCTCAAACCTGGAGCTGGGGGCTGGAAGGGACTTCCCCACCATGTGCAGCCTCCAGAGCAGCGGAATCAGGCCCATTCAGCCCAGACACCCCCACTTTCTCTCCGCCTTAGCCCCCAGATTTGCCCAGATGTTGGAAGGAGGAGAATTTGGGGCTGGATGTTGGTGACTTCCTTCTTCTGTATCTTGTTTGACTTCAGGTTCCTTTTTTGCATCTTGTTTTTGACTTCAGGTTTCCTGTCTGCAGCTCTGTCCTGGGGGAGGGATTTCACCTCAGCTCACGAGGTTCTTGGGGTAAATCTGGTATCTATTATTAGACCAACTCAGATAGTTGGAAAAATTCTGCTTTGCACACTTTCGGGCCCAACACCCTTCGTCAGACTGAGGAAGCATCTGCGGACAGTCTGTGCTTTCCCAGGCTGGAGTGGGAAAGCAGCATCTTCCTCCGTTCCCTCAGGCTAGGAGATTTTTAAAAAAGTAGTTCTTAAAAAAAGGTCAATCGTTTAAGCCTTTTTAGTTAGCCTTTATCTGATCTGTTCAGTTGGTCTAATAAAAGATATCAGATTTACCCAAAGAATCTTGTCTGCCTATGTCCTTAGACCAACATGGCTACAGCCTACACCCCTCCATCATTTAATTCATTTCACTGCATTTCATTTAATCAACTGCATTTTACTTTATCTAGATTTAGATAAAATCCAGGCTTCCAGGGGGTTGAGGCGGTGGGGGGGGAGTGAGGGGCAGGAGCAGGGCCAGGGGCACTTTATTATAATCCTGTAATAAAAGATACTCCTACACCTGTCTTTACATATGGGCAGCTTTATGAAGCCTTTTCGAAGGAGAAAGGTTTTGATCCTGTTAATGTATTCGGTCAAAAGATAACTAAAAATCCTGTGTTTAAAGAGATACTGTTGCAATAAAAATGCAATTGCAAATGGTTTGCGGGTTTCAGCTAGTAAAAAATTCATTTAAAAAGTCAATTAAATTAAAATTAATTAAAATATGACCAACCAAAGTCAAATCATCAATGATGATGAGGATAATGATTATCATGATAACGCTAATAACAATAATAATAATAAACAAATGAACTAATGAAAAAAATACAAGCAAAGCAAACATAATTTCCAGGTACCTTATGTATAAAATAAAATGTTCTCTAGGTTTGTCTCATCAAAAAGCAAATGTTGTTGTCTCCACTTCAGTAATAAAACAAATGTTTTAATAATAAAAACAAAAGAAGTAAATGATGTTAACAGATAATAAATAAATACATGATATATAACAGTGGGTAAATACTAGTTGATAGAGAATGAATAAATGATAAAAACAATAAATAAATGGTAAGTAAATAATAGTAACACACACAAATAAACTATAAAAACTATAAAAAAATAAATGGTAAATACAACTAAAGAATAATAAAAAATAAATAACCTTTGATAAAGAATAAATAATTATAAAAACGCACAGTAAATAAATAATTGATAGATAATGATTCAGGGATCCTGGATTTCTCTGTTTAAAAATGACAAATTCTCTGATTAAAACCCCCAACATCTGTGTTTTTCCCTGACTACAATGAAAGGCCACTATATGTCCAGGTATCAGTTGAACACAGCATTTTACTGATATATTTACAATTTTAAAGCAACCTGGAAGCTCGCCGGTGCCTCAGTCACTATAATGAAATAAATTCTAAATACCTATACATTTTTAATTTGATTGGGGGGGGGGTTTATCATGGAAATACAAGCTCCACCTGCGCTCCCCTAGACGCGGGTCCACCTACAGCCCCCCAGCGTGCTTTGTGGTGCTGAGCAGCCCGGCCCCTGCTGTTGCCTCTTAACCCCCCCCAGCCCGCAGCCCTGCCAGTTGCCCCCAACTGCCAGGGCTACCCGGGCCTGCAGCCCCCTGCCCCCCAGCATGGGCTTCACAGGCAGCCGCTGCAGACTCGGGCTCCCAGCCGTGCTGCCCTCCCTGGGGTTCCCGTTGCCCAGCAGGCAGGACCCGGCATGGCAATGCAGAGTGGGACTGGGCGGGGAAGCTCCTTGCCACTGAGAGCCCCATCCCACTCCCCGTCAGGCCCTGTAGCCACACATAGCCCTGGACCCCACACAGCCCCTGGGATGAGCAGCCGCCCCAGCCCTACCTGACTCCCTCCCAATGGGGGACTCAATCTCCGCCCCCGAGTTACCTGAGGGAGCTGCTCTCCAGGCTGCCACATGCATGTGTGCACACTCACTCACACACAGCACCCCTGCCTGAGCTCCCTCCTTCCGCTCCCCCTAGCCCCTCGCAGGCTGCCACTGCCAGCCCACATGGGGAAACCCATTTCCTGCATTTTCTCCTTTAAAGAAGAAAAATCATTGCGTTTCTCCTTAAAATGAGAAAAATTGTGTTTTAGCATGAATGCAAAACCTGGATCGCTGCTGATAACCAATAACGAGCAGTTTGATTAACAGGATCTTCCTGTGACTTATTGCTTGGGCTCCCTCTTGATTTGCACAGCTACAAGAAGGCTTTGAAGATGCCCAGCTGCAGGGTACCAAAAAGGAACGGAGCAGCTACCACGCACAGTTCAGGATGCGAGATCTGCTCCTGCAATCGGTCAATCTCCTGGTGCACGGATCCACGCCTTGGAGAAGCTGACAAGACCAAGACCCTGGTGAGGTACTATCATTTTCACAGCTAAACAGACTGGACTTGGCTTTGCTTTAGGCTCATTTACCAGTGACGAGTTGCAGTAAATAAAGCCTTTGTCATTCATGCATTGAATTGCCGTGTCAGTCCTTTATGCGCTGGTCCCGAACCCCATTTCCTAACAGGCCTGGAGGTGGGAGAGCCAGGGCCAGAGGTACCCTGGAGGAGGGAGTAAGCTGACCCAGCAGACCAGGGGCTGAGAGACAGAGAAGCAGGGTGAGTCCCTGGCTGGAGCGGGGTGGGGGGTGTTTCTCCTCCAAGGGCCCCAATCTGGGCCTGATCCTGGGAGTCCTGGTTGCAGGTGGAAGGTTGTGGGGGGAGTCCTCTGAGTATCAGGACTGACCCCCCCCCAAATCACACAGGCCAGCAACTGCTTCTTCCCGGCCAAGCTGCATGTGATGCTGGGCAGCTTCTCCATGCCACCACGAGGCCCCTGCCAGGTCTGGGGCCAGCCGCCACCACTTCTTTATGACCCCCCTGGACCATGATCCTTTGCTCCTGCTGCCCCCCCCCCCCCCCAGCAGCTGGGGGGTGGGGCTCTGGGTAACAGGGACCCCTTTGCTGGGAGCATCCCTTGCTCCTTGGACAGGCAGGAAGGGGATGAGGGGTTACCTGGTATTGGGGGCATCTAGTATGTTGCTACCCCACGTGGGGGTTCTGAGCCACAGGGAACCTGCTCCGGGCTGGTGCCCTCCCATGTGTCTGTCACCCACCCTGAAGGTTTTGTCCTGTGCAACGAACGGGGTAGAGCTGGGAGGGCCGGGGGGTGGGGCAGCGTGGGTCTATAGGGGGGAGTGGGGGATGGCTCTATATGGGGGGGAGATTTCATAGACATTAGGGCTAGAAGGGACCTGGGAAGATCATCGAGTCCAGCCCCCTGCCCCAGGGCAGGAAGTCAGCTGGGGTCATAGGATCCCAGCAAGATAAACATTGAAATTTCTCTTGAAGGTGTTCAATGTGGTGCTTGAACCACCTCCGATGGCAGGCTATTCCAGACCTTAGGGGCTCAGACAATAAAGAAGTTCTTCCTTATGTCCAGCCTGAAACGGTCATGGAAGAGTTTGTGACCATTCGACCTTGTCATTCCCTGGGGCGCTCTGGTGAACAGACGTTCCCCCAGATGCTGGTGGTCACCCCTGATAAACTTATAAGTGGCCATCAGATCACCCCTGAGCCTGCGCTTTTCCAAGCTGAAGAGCCGCATAGCTCTCAGCCTGTTGTCGTAAGGTCTGTTTTCCTGACCTCTGATCATGCGCGTGGCTCTTCTCTGGCTCTCTCAAGCTTCTCCACATCCTTTTTGAATTGTGGGGCCCAAAACTGGACGCAGTACTCCAGCTGCGGCCTCACTAGGGCTGAGTACAAGGGGAGAATGACGTCCTGGGATTTGCTTGAGAAGCATCTCTGGATGCAAGCCAGCGTTTTGCTCGCTTTACTAGCAGCATCACATTGAAGGCTCATGTTCACCTTGTGGTCAGTGATGACCTCAAGTCTCTTTCACCTGTACTGCTAGCAAGCGTAGCACTGCCGAGCCTATAAGGATGCTGCAGGTTTTTCTTCCCAAGGTGGAGAACCTTGCATTTTTCAGTGTTAAACACCATCAGGTTCTCGTCCACCCATTTCCTGAGCCTGTCCAGGTCAGCCTGGATCGCCCTCCTGTCCTCCGGTGTGGATGCTTTGCCCCAGAGTTTGGTGTCATCGGTGAACTTGGCCAGTCCGCTTCTGACTCCAATGTCCACATCATTAATGAAGATGTTGAACAGTATGGGCCCAAGAAAGCCCTGAGGGACCCCACTGGTCACAGGGCACCACGACGATTGACTTCTGCCAACCACCACCCTCTGGGGCCGACCACGGAGCCAGTGGATCACGGTGAGACTGGGTCCACAGTCAGCCAATTTTGCCAAGAGGTGATCACGAGATGCCAGACTGAAGGCTCATCTCCTCTCCCTTGTCCAGGTGATCGGTCACCTGGTCGTAGAAGGAAATGAAATTGGTCAGGCAAGACCTACCCGCAACAAACCCGTGTGGCTACCCCTCAGGGTGTCGCCATCCACCGGTCTGTTAAGAATGGCCTCTTTGATAACCTTCTCTAAGACCTTCCCTGGGATGGAGGTCAGGCTGACCGGCCTGTAGTTCCCTGGATCTACTCTCCTTCCCTTCACCGCACCGGCCATCTTCCAGTCTTCGGGCACTTCGCCTGATGGGAGGGGGTGGCTTCGTGGAGGGGAGTGGCCATGGATTGGGGTAGCGGGTGGTCCCCAGGGCTTTCCCAGGTGCATTGTGGGTAGCGGGTGGGCTCTATGGGGGGGGGCTGGCTGTATATGAGGGAGGGGCTGGGGGTTTCCTCTATGGGGAGGGGTCCTCAAGGGCTTCCCCAGGTGCATGGTGGGTAGATGGGTGGGCTCCATGGGAGGGGGGGGTTGGCTTTATGGGTGGGGGGCAGTGGCTCTATGGGGCCCCCCAGGGGTTTTTCAGGTGCATT